GGGGGGGGGGTCATGGACTTCCTCGAGAAGAAGAGAACGGTAGAGGGGTCAATAAACGTACGTGGCCTTTCACTTGGTGCATTGAACAGTCATTCACTTAACTGCATTGGAAGGGAGAGCACTGGATGGGGAAAAGAAGACAGACCACGAATACAATCCTGCTTCTTGATACCAAGGAGGAAAGGCGACACACGGCTGAGGGAAGAGGAGGGTCGCACAAGTTTCGTTTGGCGCCTCTGCGCCTCGGAAACCCTAACCCTATCCCTAACCCCAAGCATCCACCGGCTGGCCCTTCCAACTTCGTTAGATTCTCTTCAGATAGCAAACGTCCTGTTCCTTTCCTTTTCCTCGAACAGCGTAGGGCATTTGTTTAACTCTTCCGCGAGGTTTCGCGCCTTGGAACTTTCTGAAGTCCGTGTTTCTGCGGCGTGCCAGTGGCACGCGCGTACATATCGCGAGAGAGCTTCACAGCAGCCCCACTTTCTGCATCGCTTGGACGCAATCGCTCACTCACCGCCATAAGCAGTTTTTGCCGCAAGGCCTCCGCAGTGGCGATCGTGTCTGCGTCTGGCGCCCCCTTGTTGGCCATCTACCGTAGGAGGTCGCCGTGATCATTGTGGCCGCAGTTTTTTACAGTGTTGGCCGTGTTGGCGTATTTCGTGTGTTGATGCCATTCGCGAAGTGCGGGCGTAGACACGACACGCAGAGAGACAGAGAGACAGGGAGAAAGAGAGACAAAAGAGAGAGATAGACAAGACAGGCAGAGACAGAGGCGGGCAGATATTATCGCAAGCGATGTCAGCGGACAATACGAGGGGAAAATCATCCAGGGCGCGGCTCCCAAGATCGGCCAAAACTTCTTGCAGCTACGGATGGCCGACACAACAGGTCCAAGAACATTTTCGGGATAAGAGCACCCCGTAGCTTGGCCGTTCGGCTGAGAACGCCTATTTCGCCGCAAAAACAACCGATCATCATGGGTGCCTTTTGCAATAAGTTGCTGCCGCCGTACACACACATCCCGGGTGCGGCCTCAATACCGGTATACAAAGCCAAGAGCCAGAATCAATCAAATCGTTGCACACACACAACCCATAGAAAGTGCGGGGAATTTTCTTTTTCTTCTCATAGCTCTGGTCGTTTGTTCTCACCGCATCGAAGGTCGCGTCCTGTTCGAGGTCTACGTAGTCATCCGGCGCTGGTGGCTGGTTGTACACGTCCACGAAATCCAAGTCCGGCAAGCGGATCTTGTTGAGAATGTCCGGCGTTTTCGGGGTGAACTTGGCCATCGTGTCCTGGCGGAACCGAACGTGGACGAAGCACGTATGTATGTATGTATGTATGTATGTATGTATGTATGTATGCATGCATGTACTTCCTCCGGTCCGCCAGATAGCTCCGATTCGGAAAAACCGCATATAGTTCCAATTCACAGTACAATACCAAGCACAGTTTTTTTCGATCAACCGACTTCTCTAGTGTATTCTGCACATGGTTAGCACCATATTCGAAAAAAAAAACATGAACTGGAAAAGGGGATGACCTGATATCGTCCCCGGGGATATTTTTCATGTACTACGGAGGATAAGCCGGGCTTGAGAAAAAAGCGGTGTAGCGCGATCCAGAACTCGATTTTTTCTGATCAATTTTTTCGGTTGTTCTGTTTCGGTCCTGGTGTAGAGCCCAAATCTCGAAAGGGCAGTCTCTCTGTGTTTGTTTCCCGTATGTTCGTTCCCTGTATATTTTCTAAAGCGACGGCCGGAGGACAGAAAGGAAGTCATGTATATGTGGCAAGGAACAACACAGCAAGAACAACGTTGCCTACGGCAGTTGTATGCTTACAGAGAACATGCACCGAAACGGACGGACGTGTATGTGCCGCCCCAACACCACCGGAAAATATTGTCGTAGTCAATACGCGTGGAGGAGAAGACCAATAATTCTGCGCGTCATCTCTCCTTGCATCATCCCGCCCAGCAACTACCACACACAGCATTTATGTGCACCTCCTTCGAAGTAGCAACTCATGCGCCGTATCACAACGGCAAAAACCCACAGTACTCGTCCCGCAGCAGTAGGACTGCTACATGCTCTGCCAAATGAACAAAAAAGAGTACCCCCAATGGGGCGGCGGAGGAGGGCATTTACCCCGATGGAAGCAAGGCTCCCCAAGCTACTGATTTCTGGTTCCGAACCGCTCAACTGATGTACACACCTGATGTACACACCTGATGTACACATTTTTTGCACCATTCCAACCTAGGACATATCCCTATTCCGTCACCCAACTCGGCGACCAACCCGACTCAAAGCTATGTATTGGAAAGCGCTAGGTCAGGTAAGGGATTTCGCGTTTCGGAGTGAGCATCGTCATCGTGTCCTGCCGAGAGGAGGAACACGGTATGTATTCGGTTGTATGCTGGATATTGCACAGGCGCGCGTTCGGCCAGGGGTCACAAAAGCTGCCGACTTGGTGTTCCATAGGCGTTTGTGGGGCGCAGGGACAAGGGCTCGGAGGGGTCAGAGGAGTCCAACCCGAGGAGTGAGAGTGAACGGGAGAGGGAGAGGGAAAGAAATGGAGGCAGATAGATAGACAGACAGGCAGGCGGGACAGACAGGGAAATATTGAGAGGGAGAGAGAGAGAGAGAGTCCATGTTCATACTCCGCCATCGTGTCGTCGGATAGGCATCGGTAGGCGTAGGTTTTGGGTTGGACAGGGGTAGCGATGTGCTACAAATCATGACCAAGGATCCAGCGATCAGGTCAAGGGGGGAGCGTGTTGGAGGGAGGCACGACCCCAGTTAAACAATGAAATAGAAGAGGGGGGACTGGAATCACTGAGTGCGTTGCCATAGTGACTGTTGTTGAATAAGTTTGAACTTTGACGACTTGCCAATATTTTTCAAATTTTTATGCTTTGTACAAAAACAGCAACCCACGTCCCCACAAAGCGGTTGACGAGCTACTAGCATATGTATATTTGGACGACAACAGCCAACTTCAGAAAGAGGGTCGCACGTGGACAGAAGCTTGGGAATAGACTCAGCACGGCCCGATCTCAAAAGTAGACAAGAACATGACCAGGCCGCCAGAGGAAAAAAAAAACATAACAGTCGAACACCCAATGTACCTGGTAGAACGGGTTGCTGCCCTTCTCCTGGGTAAGGAACGCTCCCAAGCCGTTCTTCCCAGTGACGGTCGAGGCTACCAAGACCCTGCCGGGGTGGGGTGGGGTGAGCAGTCATGTCAGCGAGTGGGCACACGTGCACGACTGAATAGTAACGCTTACTAGCCGATGTACTGCTGAAAGAACAACCGACAATTCAAGCTCAGAGCTGATTTCCTCATCGTGAGGGAAACAAAAGTCGAGGGCCTACTGCAGTGTGGCACTTGCAATGCGAACCACTCCCTTGGGAATGTCTCTCAACAGCGGCAGCGAGCAGTAGTGTGGACGGTATACGTTACAAGAAAAAAACACAGCACACCATGCTGCAAAGCTGAGGTATCAGTTTGGTTCCTGCCGCCTTCGGAAGCATCAACAGCAGGCAAGCACAAACATCAACCGACCGGAAGAGAAGCCGCCTCACCCGGCTCCCAACGCGATCACGAGAGCGGCGATCCCGAACAGCCCCGACGCGGTGGAAGGGTTGCCCGGTGCCGCCGAAGCCAAAAGCAGAGAAGACACTAACGACCCCACTCCCTCCCCACCGTCAGCAGCAGCAGCAGCGCCAACAACGTTCGCGTGTACGCCGCCGACGTCCGCGAGGCCCACTCGTTGTAGCAGTAGAGAAGACGCGTCGGGTATCGCTGTGGCGATCTCTCCCCCGCTGGCACCGGCTGGAAGGAGGTCGACCGCGGTGATGCCTGTTGCTCGTGTCGGGAAGAGGCAGCGGGGGTGGCAGCGATGGAGGGGTTGCCGGTTGAGGTGGGGGACGCTGAACACACGAACTCATGGTGTGCAACTTACATTCGTTGCGTCTACCGGCGGCCTATTGGCGCAGGTGTTGCATCAACGCGGAAGGTATTGGCTGCCTGGAGGACAACTGCTACTCGTGTGCTTGCAAGTGGGCGGGAGGGGCGCTGCTGATTGACCCGCCCGCTGGGCTCTTCGTGCCGCTGTGCTGGTGCGTTGGCAGCGCTCTAGACTACAGAGCGATACATAGTATCACACCTTTCCGGAGCAAGGAATGGCACTGCTCGACTGTAACACACGCGAGAGCGAGGTGGGAAGCTTCCGCGGCGGTACTGCTGTAGCGCGAGCCACCTCGGGCCTGACGGTATCATGCACACGCTGGCCTGCGCGTGTCTATTTGTACTTGTAGTAGCCCTTCCGCAGCACGCACCTCTAGCTCGTGTTGTCGAGGGGAACGATGCGCGAGGCGCGGGGGATACAAAGCCCGCAGCATACGACAGCATCAGTGCTAGGCAAGCTGCGAAGAGTCTTGGCACCATTGTCACGTGCAGCAGCGGTGCTCTCTAGCACTGCTGTGGTAGTGCTCTCGCCTCTCGCCTCTTCTAGCTGGTACGGCGGAAACAAGGTTCGCGAGGCGTTATTGCGAAGAACCGAACCCCCTCGCCCGAAAATAACAATATTGCAACCTACCGCAAGCAGCAGGTTGCACCAGGTGCCCCGGGCATTTGACACCCTTCCAGTTTGCGCATGTTCAGGTAAGAGAGCTCATCGCGTTCCGCCATATCAATGCCTGTTTGTTCGGTTGGTTGCAGCATGTTCTGCATCTGGCCAACCCATCTCTTACATGTGCGCGGCTTGCGCATGCTGCGCTGTACTTCGCACACCTATTTTCCCCCGCCATTGTTGCATCTTTCCCAAGAGCACCTAGATGCATACACAAACACATGTCCTCCTCTGTTGCAATGGATTGGTGGCGGCCTCCACCCCTGTCTAAGAGCCATTGCCACAGCTAGCTTCATCCGGGTAGCATCGTTGAGGAGCTTTGCTGTTGTGGGGAGTGACCTTGCGTTCGGGGTGGTGAAGAGGGCACCACCGCCGTCCTCCGCGTGGATTGGTCGTGCTTCTTGCACCAGGTGAGAGCCAAGCAAGGCCTTCTCGGAGAGAGAGGGGGGGGGGGGGGTATGCC